ACATAGTTTTTCCCCATTCCCTTTCGTAGGTGACACGTGTCACCCGCTGATTATCTCAGGCCCAATGGCCGCACGTTGCCCCCAGAGCTCTGAATGTATATATTGTTTTTCCCTCACCGTTTCGAGGGTGACACGTTTCACCCATTGCTTGTCTGACGCGCAATCAATGGCTCCATGTTGCCCCCCAGAATCCTCAGAAGTTGCAGTTTTTTTCACACGGTTTCGGGGGTGACACGCTTTTCTAAGGTTGATTGACCGCATGCTGCTCCCCAGTGTCCCGAATTCGCTATACGTTTTTCACACGGTTTTGGGGGCGACTGACCCCATGCTGCCTCCCAGGATCCCATATTTCAGCATGGTTTTTCTCCCACGGCTCCGGGGGTGGCATGTGTCACCCGCTGCTTTTCTCAGGCTGAATGAATCCATGTTGGCTCCAAGAATCCTGGACTTACAATTTATGTTCCGTGCTTTCGTTTCGGGGGTGACTCGAGTCACCCGTTGTCTTATTTTCCAGGTTGAATGACATTATGGTGGCACCCGAAATCCAAAATTCAGATTTAGTCTTTCTCAAGCGCTTTCCGGGGGTGACACGTGTCACTCGCTGCTTTTCTTAGGCTCACTGGCCCCATGTTGATTCCCAGAATCCCAAGAAGTTGCGTATGGTTTTTCTCACACGGTTTCGAGAATGACACGTGCCACCCGCTGTTTTCCGGAGGTTGACTGACAGCAAATTGCCCCCCAGGATCCCGAATTTACAGTTGGTTTTCCCTCACACGTTTTTGATGGTAACACGTGCCACCCGCTGCTTTTCTCAGGCCCAATGGCCACATGTTGACTCCCAGGCTCCTAAGTTTTACATGTAATCTTTCTCACACGATTTCGGGGGTGGCACGTGTCACCCGCTGTTTTTTTTTTCCCGGGCTGAATGACCCGTTGCCGACTCCCAGAAATACAAATTCAGATGTGGTCTTTCTCAAATGCGTTCGGGGTTGCAACGTGTCACCCGCTGCTTCTCAGGCTCAATTTCCCTATGCTGACCCCTGCTATCCCAAAGGTACAGTTTTTTTTCTTACACGGTTTCGGGGGTGACACGTGCCACCCGCTGCTCTTCAAAGGTTGACTGACCGCATGTTGCCTCCCAGGCCCCCGAACTTACAATTGGCTTTCCCTTACACGGTTTTGGTGGCGACACGTGCCACCCGCTATTTTTTTTCAGGCAGAATGACCTTTTGTTGGCTCCCAGGACTGCGTATTCACAAGTGGCCTTTCTCGCACGATTTCGGGGGTGACGCGTGTCACCCGCTGCTCTTCTCAAGCCAACTGGCATCATGTCTGTCCCCAGAATCTCAATTTTGCATGTTACTTGTCTCACACGGTTTCGGGGTGACACGCGTCACCTGCTGTTTTTCCCCACATCCAAAGTGGGGTTCTTGTTTTCTCTGCACACCCCGCGCAGGAACACTCACCCCACCCCCTCTGCTCTTCTGCCTTCGCACACTCACTCGCTCACTCATCATCATCGCCACTCACTCACACTCACACTCACTCACACTCTCTCATCATCAACATCAGCATCATCACTCGCGCTCTCTCACACGCTCAGTCACTCACATACTCATCATCATCATCATCATCATCATCATCATCATCATCATTATCATCATCATCATCACTCGCACTCTGTCACACGCTCACTCATTCACATACTCACCTGGAGGAAGTATCAGGCGGGAGTTCGTCTGTGAGTGAATTGTCAGGAAGTCTCAGGCGGGATCCCCCTCCCTATGGGGCCCGCACTTCATGTTGGTAATCCGGGCGGGTCATCCTGAAACTTGTAGCTGTCGTCACTTTTGCGCTCCTGAGGTTTGATTACTGAGGAAGTATCAGGCGGGAGCCTCGTCTGTGAGTGACTTGCGAGGAAGTCTCAGGCGGGAGCCCCCTCCCTATGGGGCCCGCGCTTCATGTTGGTAATCCGAGCGGGTCATCCGAAACGTGTATCTGTCGTCACTTTTGGGCTCTTGATGCTTGAATATGGAGGAAGTCTCGAGCGGGAGCCTCGTCTGTGAGTGAATTGCGAGGAAGTCTCAGGCGGGAGCCCCCTTCCCTATGGGGCCCGCATTTCATGTTTGTAATCCGAGCGGGTCATCCGAAACGTGTAACTGTCGTCACTTTTGGGCTCTTGAGGCATGAATGTGGAGGAAGTCTCGAGCGGGAGCCTCGTCTGTGAGTGAATTGCGAGGAAGTCTCAGGCGGGAGCTCCCTCCTTATGGGGCCCGCGCTTCATGTTCGAATCCGAGCGGGTCATCCGAAACGTGTATCTGTCGTCACTTTTGGGCTCTTGAGGCCTGAGTATGGAGGAAGTCTCGAGCGGGAGCCTCGTCTGTGAGTGAATTGCGAGGAAGTCTCAGGCGGGAGCCCCCTCCCTATGGGGCCCGCACTTCATGTTCGAATCCGAGCGGGTCACCCGAAACGTGTATCTGTCGTCACTTTTGGGCTCTTGAGGCATGAATATGGAGGAAGTCTCGAGCGGGAGCCTCGTCTGTGAGTGAATTGCGAGGAAGTCTCAGGCGGGAGCTCCCTCCTTATGGGGCCCGCACTTCATGTTCGAATCCGAGCGCGTCATCCGCAACGTGCAGCTGTCGTCACTTTTGGGCTCTTGAGACCTGAATATGGAGGAAGTCTCGAGCGGGAGCCTCGTCTGTGAGTGAATTGCGAGGAAGTCTCCAGGCGGGAGCCCCCTCCCTATGGAGCCCGCTTCCCGAGGCGCTGGCCGAGGCGGCGACGGCGCTGAGGAACATAGATTTGCTTGCCCCGACGAGGGGGAAGGGGAGGTGCACATGGAGAAAAGGCAGGGGGATGAGGAGGGAAGGGGCATGGGGAAGGCCGACGACGAGGAGGAGGTGGCGCGACAGGAGGAGGAGCAGGAGGAGGAGGAGGAGGAGGAGGACGAGGAGGGAGGAGGAGGAGGAGGAGGAGAGGAGGAGAGGAGGAGGAGGAGGAGGGCAGGAGGAGGAGAGGAGGAGGAGGAGGAGGAGGAGGAGGAGGAGGAGGGAGGAGGAGAGGAGGAGGAGGAGGAAGAGAAAAAGAAGGGGGAAGAGAGGGCAGTGCAGGGGGCGAGAGGAGAGGGTGTCCGCCAGGGGGAGTAGGAAAGGGCAAAGGGTAAGCTAAACATATTCTCATGTGGGGTCCTACCGTCGGAGTAATTGAAACAGAACGACCCTTTGCTGATTTCCAGAACTACAGAATCACATTTGGCCTTTCTCAAACGCTTTCGGAGGTGGCACGTGTCACCCGCTGCTTTTGAGGCTGAATGACTTTTTGTTGACTCCCAGAACTACAGATTCAAAATTGGCCTTTCTGAGGCTCCATGCTGACTCCCAGAATCCTAAGAGGTACATCTGGTTCTTCTCACACGGTTTCGTGGGTGACACGTGCCACCCGCTGCTTTTCTGATGCTGACTGACCCACGGTTCTTACCTGGTGGCGGATTGTTCCAGTCTAGATGAGTTCGCAATCTCATTTCTCAGAGCATTCACGCGTTGCTGGTTTCAAATCCCACATTCAGACAGATGCATCGGATAACCGGTGCTGATTTACGAAGCATCTTCGTCCCCGCACCATTGTGGTGGCGAAGTTGCTTCGGTGTGTGTGCTGACTTACGAAGTGACCTACACTGGGGCCGCCGCCAACTTCTGGACAGCCGTTCGCTTTTTACCCGCCTGCGATTTTCTTGAAGCCACCCCTGGGGACCGCCGCCAGCTTTTGAGAGACCCGCTCACCTTTCAACCACTCGACTTTTTTTGTAAACCCACCCCCAGCCGATGTGGCGTGGGGAAGGGTAAATTTGGGTAAAAATATTAACCACCCTTCCTGGGCAGCGGAGCTGGGTAAGGGCCCTAGCATGTCTCGTGATAGGGTTGCACTCACAATCCGACCGCTTGTTCAGCCCAGATCTGCCGGGAATGAGGGCGGTACATATTTTCGACCCAGGTATGATCTGGACGCCCGAAATGGGTACTGAAAGAATGGGTACTATGCCCAACAGCGGATCTGGTTCATTTTGAACAAGATCCGCTGTCCACGCCGCCGCGGCTTGTGTCCATTCGAGACAGGAGGCCGCCCGCCCAACAGCGGCCGCTGTTGGTTTGGGACAACATTTGCTGTTGGGCATAGTACCCATTTTTTCGGTACCCATTTCGGGCGTCCAAATATGATTTCCACACTCTCTTGATCTGTCTTGCACGACCCCACAGGGAGCCCCACCGAAGGCCCCAGTGGTAGCGCCCGCGTGGCGGCCCCGCCCCGCTCCTGGCATCCCCCCCGCACGCTCCGTGGCCCCACGGGAAGCTCCACCGCAGGCCCCCGGAGGCAGCGCCCGCATGGCGGCATCGCCCAATTGCGGCGCACACACGCGCACACACACAGACACAGACACACGCACGCACACACACAGGCACACACACACACACACACACACACGCACACACGCACACACGCACACACGCACACACACACACACACACACGCACACACCACACACACACACACACATCTCACGTTTCGTGGACCCACAGGGGGGCCCACCGGAGGCCCCAATGGCAGCGTCCACCGCCCCATTTTGGCAAACTCCTGACACGCTTCGTGGCCCCACAGGGAGCGCCCGCTCCGTCGTCCTACATGCCGTGCGGTGTTCACGCCTGCATCTGGTCGGGTCCTTCGCCAAGATAGTTGCGAGGGATCGTTCGGGTGGGAATGCATGGGCCATTCCGTGAGTAGGGGGGCGGTCCCTTATCAGAACAGAGAAACCCTACAGAACAGCACTGGGCATTTTATAACACGCCCACATCGTGCAGGAACGGTGGCCGGTTTCTTCGCCCCCTGTTTTTTCAGGCCCTGGGGCCATCAAAGACGGGTCCAGGGCGAAAAGAGGTCCCTCGGGGAGGGCGTCGGGACCCTTGCGGGCCTGAGGATAGGCAAGCCGGTCCGTTAGGAGTCCAGAGCCGTCCCGCTCCCGCCGTTCAGCGCTGGTGCCATGTCGATCGACGGGGCCGAGCAGGTGCTGCTAAGGGTGGAAGCTTCGGAAGGCGAACGGGGCGGCGCAGCCCGCAGTCCGTCAGCCGCCGACGATGGCGAGCCCGCGCCGCCTTCCAAAGGAGGTGGCGTCGGATGTGCTTGCTTCAGGCCCAGCCCGCTGACGGCGCTCATCTTCCTGGCAGCCGCAGGCGCTCTGGCCGCTGCCGCTGTGTGGCTCAACAACGCCGCTGCTGTGGATGCGCAGGCCGCTGCTGGCGGGTGGTTCAAACAGGTTGCTGGTGTGGATGCGCAGGCTGCTGCTGGCGAGTGGTTCAACCAGGTTGGTGTGGATGCGCAGGCCGTCGTCGTCGGGTGGGTCAACGATGTCGCTGACATCGCTGACATGGGCGCGCAGGAGGTGAACATGTCGAGCAACGTCACAGACTGCTCTGCGATGGATCAGAGCTGCCTCGAGTCCAGGTGCTGCCTCGACGAGGGGCTGCAGTGCTACGCCAAAGACGAGACTTTTGCCAGGTGCAAGCCCTCGTGTGTCCCGGGGCCAGACATGCAAGACGTGGACGGGAAGCATTGGAGCTGCGAGCAGCTCGGTCCTCGCACACCCGGCACGATCACAGAGGTGGACGCGGCGGAGCTGCCAGTCCCGAGTTGGGTCAGGTGGGCGTGCTCCAGCAAGGGCGAAGACTGCAGCGCCCGCGCGTGCTGCAAGGACAGGGCCGCTTCGAGACGCCCGCCAAGTCCAATGCCCCCTCGTCCTCCTCCTGCGGCAGGGGGCGGAGGAGGGGGGGGTGAGAGGGAGCCGCGGCCCGGGCCTCCCAGGTGAAGCCAGAGGGCGTGGTCGGAGGCTTACGCTGCATCAGTGACGCCTCGGCGATGCGGAGCGAGCGTCCGACTGCATTTGCCCTGGCCCCGCCTGTGATGCCTCCAAGGGGTGTCCGCGGTTCGGTCGCTTCGGCTCCGTCGCAGTCGGCTGCGTTCGGTCGGTTCGGCTGGGTCGGCTGCCGCGTCGCTGCCGCGTCGCTGCCGCGTCGCTGCCGCGTCTTCCTCGACCGCCTCTGGCAGATGCGGCTCTGGTTGGCCTCGGTATCGCTGTGGCTTCGGGCGGTTCTCGATTGCGCTGTCGCCGTGGACGGCCTCTTGTGGGAGGGGCTGGGGCCGATAGGGGGAATCCGTTTGCTTTTTCGGTTCTCGAGAGGGTGTTGCGGCCGCAGCCTTTGCGGGCCGACGCCCGCTGATATCTTGTTTGCCCCGGGTCGTCTTCGCTGCAGGGTGCTTTGTGAAAGGTGGTTCTGTCGGGAGGATCGGCCCCAGCGGGCGCATCGGCGGACTCCAGAAGAGGACCGGGGCCACCAGTGCTTCGGGGAGAGCGGCGGCGCCGGCCTCTGCAGGGTCGAGTGCGAGGAGGGCTCGGCGTGCGAGGCGAGGGGGCCGCGGACGCCCGGGAGGCCCCGGCGGGGCTCGTTCCTGGTCATCGGGGACTGGGGCTGGGACCCGCACGCTTACGGCAGTCAGCAGAACCACGAGTGCCAGGCTTCGATTGCGCGGCTGATGGACCGCACCATGGGCGAGCTTGGGGACGTCAGGTTTGTCGTCAACGTGGGCGACTCGTTCTATCCGAACGGCGTGAAGGACAGGGGCGACCCGCAGTGGGAGGCGAAGTGGCGGAGTCTCTACAGCTTCCAGCTTCGTGCAGTCCCCTGGTACAGCGTGTACGGGAACCACGACCTCCACGAAGCATCGTGTGCGTGCACCGAAGACGAGTCGCATTGCGCCCAAGTAAACTATCCAGCTGCCTGCGGAGAGTTCCGCCACCGTGCCAACGGAGCGCAGCGATCTGAGGGGCTCTCATGGGACCTGCCTGGGCCGTCTTGGAGCTGTCTTGGGCTTCTATGGGGACGTCTTGGGGTCGGCGCAGCGCTGTGTGAGGCGCTCATGGAGGCCCAGCTAGGCCGTCCTGGGAATGTCTTGTCCTCCTACGCTGCTGTCTTGGGGCCCTCTTGGGGCCCTCTTAGGTCGTCTTGAGGCCCTCTTGGGCCGCCTGGGTGCCGTCTTGCGCCGTCTGGGGCCCGTCTCGGCTGTCTGGAGGTTCTCTGTGGGCTGTCTTAGAAGCCTCTTCTGCCGTCTTGGGGCACTCTTGGGTTGTTTTGGGCCCATCTTGGGCCCATCCTGGGGCTCTTTTGGAGCTGTCCTGGGCGGTTGTTGGGGGCTTCACTGGGGCCTCATGGGGCTCTTTTAGTCTCTCTGTGGTTTCTCCTGGGCCCACTTAAACTCCTTGGGCCGAGATGCCCGGGAAACACCATGTCAAATACCATTTATATTTCCGTAGGTGTTGGAGCGTTCTTGGCCATCCTGGAGGGAGTCTTGGCCTTTTGTCTGGTGTCGCGGAAGCTTCTTGGGGCCGCAGCTTTCTTCGGGGCTGTTGGGTACCTGTTGAGGCAATGTTGGGCCATCTTGGAAGCCTTCCTGTTCCTGTTCCGTCTTCCTGTTCTGTATTGGAAGCTTTGGAACGCTCCACGGAGGCGTCGGACCAGGATGAAAAGGGGAAGGTCCTCTGACGACTCAGCTTGCCAACATCACTAGGCAAGTCGGCCACGCCTCTACGTGCCAGGAGGCACAGCGGCGGATAACGAGGACGATCGGGACTTCTTCGTGATGCCAGGCACAAGCTACTACAAGGAGCTTCCCGATCTGGGCATCGAGGTCGTGGGCCTAGATCTCAACCACTTTGCCGGCGGAGACCGAGCCAGGAGCAAAGACGCACTGAAATTCGGCTCGACGGAGGAGTGCATCTCGATCATCCGCAATCGCACCCAGCGGGGCTTCGACCTCTTCTTCGAGCGAGCTGAGAAGTCGAACGCCACATCCTTGGTCGTCTTCTCCCACTACCCGACTGACTACTTCTCCCTCGCCCCGGAGTTCCTCGCGGCCCTCAGGGACAACTCGCGACACGGCATCACTTACTTCGGCGGCCACCGGCACAGCACCGACAACGTCGGGCGGGGCAGAAAGTCGGCGACGCGCCGATGGGGAGGAAGAGAGGGGGGCCAGGCCCTCTCGGAAGGTGGCGGGGCCTCTCAGAAGCCCTCGGGGGCCTTCTGAGGGGCCCCGCCTGCCTCCGGGGAAGCTTCTCAGAGGGCCTTCCTCCTCCTCCTCCTCCTCCTCCTCCTCCTCCTCCTCCTCCTCCTCCTATCCTCCTCCTCCTCTCCTCCTCCTCCTCCTCCTCCTCCTCCTCCTCCTCCTCCTCCTCCTCCTCCTCCTCCTCTCCTCCTCCTCTCAGAGGGCTTCCTGAGCCTGCCGAGAAGACCCCCCCGCCCTCTCGGCCCCCCCCCCCCCCCCCCCGGGTGCGCTGCCCGGAGGTGCTCCCGGGCCCGCTGCCCTCCCGTGAGCTCTCCCCCCGGAGGGGGGCGCTCCGCCTCCGCCGTGGCGGCGAGGCGAGGAGCCCGGCCGCGGCCCTCCCCCTTCTCCTCCTCCTCCTCCCCTCCTCCTCCTCCTCCTCCTCCTCCTCCTCCCTCCCCTCCTCCTCCTCCTCCTCCTCCTCCTCCTCCTCCTCCTCCTCCTCCCTCCTCCTCCTCCTCCTCCTCCTCCTCCTCCCTCCACCTCCTCCTCCTCCTCCTCCCTCCTCCTCCTCCTCCTCCTCCGCCTCCCCTCCTCCTCCTCCTCCTCCTCCTCCCTCCTCCTCCTCCTCCCATTCCTCCTCCCATTCCTCCTTCTCCTCCTCCCCCCCCCCGGAGGAGTCCCGAGTGGCGGGCGGGAGGGGCGGGGCACCGGGGTCGGTACAGTCAGCCCGCACAGTGCACGCCGGTCGTTGAGGAAGCAGGAGTTCTGGGCTTCCCAGAGCCCAATCTGCTTCAGGCGCCTTCCTGCTTCAAGAGATCGGCATTATTTTGCTGTGTTCTGTTATTCTCTGGGAGGGCCTGGACCCAATCCACTTTATCCGCCTTCCTACTTCATGTTTTTACCTACTTCTTCCGACCGACGTGTAATGGGGGAACGGAGAGTGACATAAGCATGAGAACTCGGAGGTCCGCGTGGATTTCTCGGATCCGCGCCGGACCCCCCTGGCGCGCCTCCGGCGCCGCCCCTGGCGCGCTGCGCGCGCCAGGGAGGGGGGGGTCCAGCACGGATCCGAGAAATCCGCGCGTACCTCCGAGTTTTTATGTTTATGTCATTCTTCGTTCCCCTAAGTAAGGACGGGCAACCTTCCCAGGAGTACCCCTTGCATCCGTGCCTCCTCGGTCCATCCTTGACGGCTTTCGCTGGCCGCGCCCCGCTCGCAAAGTGTCGACATGGCCTTCCGAGGCCCTTGCATCCTCACTGCGCATCCCTGTTATGCGGGTTTCCTGTCCGGTTGCGGTGGGCCTGGGGGTGTTCGTCAAGGAGTGCGCGCAGGAGTTGGAGCCGTTTGGGGGTCTGAGGTGGCCCACAACACCCAGCACTGGCTCCGGTCGGCAGGACGGGCGGGCAGGTGCAAGACTCTGGGCTTCCGGAATGTCTTTGAGGAGGGGAAAAAACACAGACAACACCATTAATCGTCGATTCCCCAGAAAATATGGGAAAATTTGGGAAGTGGGGGGGAAGACAAAACCCCGAAAATATGGGAAAATATGGGGAATCCTGGTATTTGTGTCTATTGATTTGTGTGTCCCAGGGCCCCTTCAGTCTTGTTGCCCTTTGCTCGGCCTCCGGGTGCCGTTCTCGGGGCCTGGGGCCGTGCAGCACGGATCCAGCGCGAAGAGCCGCGCCAGCTGGACCGCGGGGGAGGGGCCTGGGGCCGCTTTTGAACGGATTTTGCCTCGGAGGAGGAGGGAGGAGGAGGGAGGAGGGAGGAGGGAGGAGGGAGGAGGAGGAGGGGGGAGGAGAAGGAGAGGGAGGAGGAGGAGGAGAGGAGAGGAGGAGGAGGAGGAGGAGGAGGAGGAGGAGGAGAGGAGGAGGAGGAGGAGAGGAGGAGGAGGAGGAGGAGGAGGAGGAGGAGGAGGAGGAGGAGGGAGGAGGGAGGAGGAGGAGGGAGGAGGAGGAGGAGGAGGAGGAGGAGGAGGAGTCCTCCTTCCTGCTTGCTTTTCCAGGGTCCCTGCCAGTTCGGGCCCCCGGGCCGCCGTTCCAATCCGGGAGGCGCCAGGCCCATGGAGGATGCCTCCGCAGAGGAGGGCGGCAGCGGTGCCCCTGGCCAGGCCTCGGTCGGTGTTCCACCAGCTTTCAGTCCCTGGATTTAAGTCGAGCCCGTGCCTTTGCAGGAGGAGTGTTCAAAAATAGTGAAACAAATTTCTGGGGACTATTTTTTGAATGTTTTTTAATACCGTTTTGGAGTCTCATTTAAGTATTTATCATTTTTTTGTCGAAAATCCCCCTGTAGGGGGACACGCCCTACTTGACCCTGGATTCCTGATCCAAGGCTTCCCTATTCAGTGCCCCCCCCAAACCGTAGAAAGCTGCATACATTAAAGACTTTCGGAGCACCTCTCACGGACGTCTTGTCTTCGCTGGGGCCCCCCTGGCAGCGCCTCCGACGCCGCCCCTGGCGCGCTCTGCGCTCCAGAGAGGGGGGGCCCAACGCCGATCCAGGAAGTGCGAGCCTTCGCAAGTGTACGTTTGTGTTGCTTTCTTGCCTGTTTTTCTGTATTGGGCGCTGGCCGAAGTTCCGACCGATCCGAATCAACATGAATCGACAGTCGACGCTCGATCCAGACCCATGCTGCTGCCATCCACTGTGCGCCCTGGGAAGCAGGGCATGGGCAAAAAGATGCGGCCTCGGATGCCAGGAGTTTACCCGTATGAGCGACGCCCAAAAGAAAAGGCTCCGCTGCGCCGACATTGGCGCGTGAGCTGCCCGCGTAAAGTCGCGCGCAAGCGGCCTCGCTTCAGCGCAGCGTTCTGCGCTGGCGGCCCGCGTAAGCCACCGCGTAAGGTCGCTATGCCATCCTGCGTAAGATGACCCGTTTCGAGCTTCGGTCCTATCGGGCGATGAAATCGGCACATACCCACTGCCCCATGGCCGGGCCCTTCCTGGGCCCAGGAGCTGTGCATACGCCCCCCGGCCAAGCCAGGAGGGTGGTGCGCGCGCACCGCTGCTGGGTTGAGGATGGGCCTGGCAGGGGAGCAGTGGGTACAGTGGGGGCCCATGCCAAGAAACACCCTGCTCGCCGCCAGGGTGCCCTGGTTTTCTTGGGTTTCGATGGTTTTGCCATGGAAAGCGCGACGTTCCCACACCAAAAGTCAGTGGACGTCCTGGGGTCTCACGGGTTGGGGTTCTTGTGGAAGGTTTGCTGTGGTCGGACCTCCATTGTGTGTATAGATATTGTCGCGCTACCATCTCCCCGCTCTGGCTCGTCGTGGCGCTGGGGCTCCAGCAGGTGCATGGATGCACGCTGGTCGCTGGAAGCAGGTATCTCTGGACTCCCAGATCCCAATCTGCTCTAGGCGCCCTCCTACTTCAATGTTCGAGCGGTTTCCCCTCCTCCTTCCTCTTCAGGGGGCGGTCGGAAGCCCAATCTACCTTCAATGCCTTCCTGCAGTCGAGCATCTGATCAAGAAACCTCCTCCCGACAAGCTGGGTCAGCGTTTCTTGATCAACTCGCCCGAAAGCTGGCCCAGTTTCTTGCGTACGTTCTCCCCCCCAGCGTTCACAGAAGCAGCTGGCCCAGACTTGTCTCATGAACCTTCTGGAAAGCTGGCCCAGGGTTCTCAAGTGATGAGTTTCTTGACCCTGTTTCCGGTTGTACTTTCAGTGCTTCCCTGCTTCCTGCGGCGGTCGGCGCCTCGGGGGAGTTCGGCAGCAGATCCTGGGAGCCTGGTCTACTCTCTGAGTTCCGTCTCCAGCGTCGATTTGCGTCGATCAGCGTCTGGGCGTCGATGCGGTAGCGCCGTTTTAGCGTCGGCTAGCGTCGATCAGCGTCGATTCAACGTCGAGTAGCGTCGATTTAGCGTCGACCAGCGTCGATCCGCAAGAGCCGACAAGATGGTATGGGATGCTCCCATGAGTTGCCACCGAACATCAGAAAGACAGTCACAGCGAAATCAAGGAGAAGGATGGGTGCTCCGAGTTTCATAACACAAGCGGGTTGGTCTGATTTGTTGGGGGTCTGAAGTGAGCTGTCTTGGAGGAAACCAGGGGGGTCTGTCTGGGCATAGGGCCGCCTGTTCAAAAGCTGCTCGACTGGGAGGGATGTGACCCCCTTCCGTTTATTACGAAATTTGGAGTAACCTTCCCAAGGGCACCCTGGCAGCCTTGGCTCCTCGGTCCATCCCTACATCCACTTCGATGACCAGCCCACGGAGCATGCATTCTTAGAACGATCACGACCAAAGCATGGCTCATTAACATTTCTCCGACTCGATTCGATTCGATTCAGATCGATTCCGATTCCGATTCGATTTGGATCGATTCCGATTTGAGCTTTTGTTTACCATGGGAGGCCTTACCAGCTGGCCGATTTCCGCCGATCCGATTCGTTCCGACCGTCGAGCCAACTTATCGATGCGATCCTGGGCTCTCCTGCCAAACCCCAGGCCCCATCTTCCTGCGGCATTGTTCGAGCGCGAGATCGATCCGTGACGGCTCCGGGGGCACCAAGCGGGGCGAAATCGCCGCGTGCGACAAGAAATGGCATCGCTCGGGCCCGAGGCCACCGCCTCCAGGCCGAGCACGAGCTCTCTCCCTCCCCCCCCCTCCGCCCGACAGGTCAGCACCATCTCCACCAGGCCGAACACGAACTCCCTCCCTCCTCCCCCCCTCGCTCCGCCCAACAGGTCAGCACCACCTCCACCAGGCCGAACACGAACTGGGTCGTGGGCGGCGGCGGCGGCTGGGGCTGCGACTCAAACAAGCAGGGCTTCGTGGTCGGAGAGGTCAACGTCGACGGCTCCGTCCCCCGTGGCCGGCCAGCTGCCGAGGGGAACAGGAGGAGGAGGAGGGAAGGGGAATAGACGTGGAAGTGGGTGATGATGATGCTGATGATGATGCTGATGCTGATGCTGTTGATGATGATGCTGATGATGCTGATGATGATGGTTATGATGAAGGATGATGACGATGATGATGACGACGGTGATGATGACGAGGATGATGATGATGCTGATGCTGATGCTGATGCTGCGGATGATGACGACGGTGATGGTGCTGATGATGACGACGGTGATGCGGATGATGGTGACAGTGTTTTTGATGATGATGAACATGATGATGCAACTGCTGCTGGTGATGATGAGAGTGTCGATGCTGACAATGATGATGATGATAGTGATGATTATGATGATGCTGCTGATGTTGATGTATGTATGTATGTATGTATGTATGTATGTATGTATGTATGTATGTATGTATGTATGTCTGTATGTATGTATGTATGTATGTATGTATGTATGTATGTATGATGTATGTATGTATGTATGTATGTATGTATGTATGTATGTATGTATGTATGTATGTGGTGATGATGATGCCGATGATGATGTATGTATGTGGTGATGATGATGATGACGAGAAGGATGTTGTTGATGATGATGCCGATTATGAGGATGACGATGCAGATCGTGCCGATGACGACGACGAAGGTGACGGTAATGATGACGACGATGATGCTGCTGCTGCTAATGCTGATGCTGATTCTGATGATGAGGAGGTGGACGGTTATGATTATGCGTTGTTGATGATGATGGTGTTGTTGCTGCTGATGATGATCATGATGACCATGATGATGCTGCTGATGATGATGACGATGATGATGCTCATGATGACCATGATGATGCTGCTGATGATGATGGCGATGACGATGCCGCGTCGATTGCGATGTTTATGACGATGATGACGACGACGATAAGATGGCGACGATGATGATGATGACGATGATGACGATGATGATGCTGATGATGATGATGATGATGATGATGATGTTATTGATGATGAGGGTCATGACGATGACGATGATGATGTTGATGACGGTGATAATTCCTCGAGCAGTGCTTGCACTTAGGAGCTCTTACTTCTCTTCCAAGAACCGTGCCTGGCTGCGGCCCTGGCGGCCCTGCTCCCGCTCCTCGCCGCACCACTCTTCCCACAGATGCACGCGTGCCGGTCTGGCGGCCCCGTTCCCGTCCGTCGCAGCCTCTCCGTTGCCGCCCCCCGTTGCATTTCGATCGCATGGCGCTGCAACCGCACTTCGTTACGTTGCAATCGCAGTGCATTGCATTCCATTGCTTTGCTTTGCATTGCTTGGCAATCGCACTGCATTGCAATCGCATTGCTCTGAGCTGCTTCGCAATCGCATTGCAGTGCAACCGCATGGTATTGCACAAACTTGCATTGCTTCGCATCGCTTTGCGTTGCGCTGCATTGCTCTGCACTACTTTGTATCGCTTTGCATTGCTTTGCATTGCTTCGTGGTGCAATGCTTCGCATTGCATTGCATTGCTTTTGATTGCCTGGGAGTGCTTCGCATTGCTTTTCATTGCTTCGTATTGTGTTGCATTGCGTTGCATTGCGGTACACTGTTTTGCATGGCCACGCATAATTTTTAGCGTTGTATTGCGTTTCTTTGCATTGCATTACCTTTCACTGCATTGCGGTGCATTGCTGTGCATTGCTTTGAACTGCTTTGTATTGCATTGCCTTGCGTTGCCTTGCTTTACAGTGCTGTTTGCCGCATAGATTGCACAACCTCAAGTGCACCACCTAGATTGCACCACGTGGCTTGCACCGCCTAGACTGCACTGCATAGGTTGCAAGAAGTCACTCTTCGGGGCCCACGCTGGCTAACATGATTCCAAACTGTGCTTGCACTTAGGGTTTTTTTCACTTCCCTTTTCAGGAGCTGGGCCCGTCTGCGGGCCCGGCGTCCCTGTTTCCGTCCGTCGCCGCCACATTGTCCCGAGCAGACGGCCCGTGTGCGGGCCCAGCGGCCCCCTTCCCGTCCGTCGCCGCACCACATTGTTGACACCACATGGCTGGCACCACGTCGGCAGCACTACACAGATTATCCTCAGATCTTGCACCACATAGATTGCACCACATAGCTTGCACCAGCTAGCTTCCACCACATAGCTTGTACCACGTAGATTCTCCATTCTAGAAAGAAAATAGACTCTTCCCCCCCCCCAGCGTTATCCGTACCCCTTTCTAAGAGGAGAATAGACTCTACCCCCCCCACACGGCCTTATCCGTACCCCTTTCGGGTGTGTAAACCATATAGGATTCTGACCACGTGTCCATCCTAAATCTGAATTTACACTATCCCCGGGGGGGCGGTATCGACCCCCCTGAGGTTCCCATGTAAAAAACGATACGCGGGGACATCTTTTGTTCTAACATAACACTTTTTTCACGAACCCCTTGCAAAAATGGGACGAAGTGCACACGCGCGCGCCGTCGCGCGCGCATGCCGAAATCCTCAAAAAAACCCTCGGTGTCGGAAGGTTTTCGCAATCGAGTTTTTTTATTCAAAAAACATACAAACACACAGGGTTTCGCAACACTGATTTGCTGAAAAAGCTTACGCGCGAGCTCTTCCGAAATCTCAAGAGAACAATAGGTTTTTCAAGATTTTCGCAAAATGCTACCAAACGGGCTTCGCGCGCGCGCATGTCGAAATCTGTCGAACGCCCTTGCGCGTGCTGCAAAAAAATAGGACGAAGTGCAGACGCGCGCGTCGTCGCGCGCGTATGCCGAAATCCTTCAAAACCCATCGGCTTCGGAAGGATTTTTACATCGTGTGTCCAAACAGCCTAAAAATCACACAAGGTTTCGCAACACGGATGTTCAACAAAATCGTGCGCGCGCGCTCTTGCGCCGTCGTCGTCGTCGTCGTCGTCACCGTCCTCCCTCCTCCCGCGTCGTCGTCGTCGTCGTCGCCTACGTCGTCCTCTGTCTGTCCTCGTGTTCGTCGTCTGTCCGAACGATCCCTTGGTGGTTGACTCTCGTCGTCGTCGTCGTCGCAGTTTTCCCGTGTTTCCCGACCTCGCACGCGTGTTCCAGGGGGCCAGGCGTCATCGCGCGAGCGATGACCAGCCTGTCGCTGGACAGGATGTCAGGCGCTGTCCGCGCCAGTTTACTGAAGTCGGCAGTCTTGATGAAGAGCAGACCTGGGTCGATTGGGGGGGGCCTGCTACTCCGCACTTCCTCCTCCTCCTCCTCCTCCTCCTCCACCTCCTCATCCTCCTCTTCCCCCCATCACCGTCTCTCCCTTCCTTCCCGCCATCATCCTCCCTCGTCAATGCATATCCCGTCTCCTCCCGGGGCCGGCTCCGATGCCAATGATGCTGAAGCTGAAGGTAATGCTGGTGATGAGTATGATGACGATGCTAATGATGATGCGGTTGGTGACGATGAAACGTATGTTTCGCCACATTGAGTTAGACGGTTATGCTGCTGATGGCGAGCACGACGAGGATGTTTATGATGCTGTCGATGAGGGTGATGATGCCGATGATGTTGATGAAGTTCATGGTGCTGCTGATGCTGATGGTGATGACGATGATGATGATAAGGACGAGCAGGGGATGCTGATGAGGATGGGGGGGGGGGATACGGATGATGGCTGCCGCTGCTGTTGATAATGCTTATGACGATGGTGACATTGTTTATGCTGTTGATGGTGAGTGATGTTGCAGATGATGGGTAAGCACATGATGATGACGACGGTGATGATGCCGCTGCTGTTGCTTCCGATGATGACGATGATGATGACGCTGGCGGTGGCAACGGCGACGATTACGATGGTGATGTGAATTCTGATGATGATGGGTGTGATGGCGAGTGTACTGGCGATGGTGATGATGATGATTATGATGAGCATGACGATGACAATGATACTGATGATGACGATGATAATGTTGATGGTGATGATGATGATGGTGGCCATTACGATGATGATGATGGTGATCACGATGATGACGATGATTGTGGTGATGATGCTGATGATTGTGTTTCTGCTGCTGATGATTGCTATGGTGATAATAGTGCCCACGCTGATGATAATGATCCAGCTGCTGCTGATGCTGCAAGTGGTGACGGTGATGAGGACGACGATCATCACACTGATGTTGATGATGCTGCTGATGGTGATGGTGATGATTGTGGGGACAGTGACGGCGGGGGTGATGACGATGACGATGATAATGGCGATGCTGATGATCCTACTGATGGTGGTGGTAATTTTATTGTTGGTGTTGCTGTTGTTGTTGTTGTTGCTGTTGTTGTTGTTGTTGTTGTCAATGATGGTGTCCATGATAAAGACGATGATGGTTATGATGATGTTGATGGTGACGACCATTATGCTGATGATTTCGATTCGATGATGGTTATGGTGCTGATGATGTGCTGATGACAAGAGTGACGGTGGTTCATATGGTTTTGCTGATGCTGGTGGTGATGGCGGTGATGATGATGTGGTGATGATGTTGCTGATTCTGTGGATGATGGTCATGATTGTGACGACGACGCTGTTGTTGATGCTGATTCGGTAATGATGCTGATAACGATGATGACGATGTTGCTGACGATGATGATGAGGATGACGATGACGATGACGACGATGAAGATCATGAGGGTGATGATGATGACGATGACGATGCTCATGGTGATGATGATGAAGATGCCGATGAAGAATATGAGGATGATGATGATGATGATGATGGTGGTGATGATGATATAAAGAAGCATGTTCATGCTATGATGCTAAGGAGGAGGATGACGATGCTGGTGATGATGATGGTGAGGGTGATGATGAGGATGCTGGTACTGATGATGATGATGCTGATGATGAAGTTGATAATGATAATGATAATTATGATTATGGTGGTGGTGATGATGATGATGATGATGATGATGATGATGATGATGATGATGACGATGGTGAGCTCGAGGAGGAGGAGGAGGTGGAG